GTGGCAAAAAAAAAAGATTTCACCACTGAGTTGTATGTATTATCTCCTTGGGCTGTTTTGAATGATTACTTTTTGTCTGAATCCTAATTGAGGCATGGAAAAAGAAAGACTTGATTTGCACAAGCCTTTTGTAACCATATTTCGCTTCAGTACCACAATTAATGCATGCAGCATTGCTTTAAGCCAATGTTGTTTAGCACAATTTTGGCTGACTTTAGGGACTGTGCCTTTTCAGTGGTGACATCATTATTTTATTTAGTTATTTATTAAACATAGATGTCACCCATTTCACCAATAAGGTGACTTTGGGTGGCTTAAAAATAGTAAAAAGATGAACATAAAAACAGTTAAAACTAGGAAGACTTAAATAAGAACTAAAACCAAGGGAATGGATGGATGGCATGTGAAGTCTTCTTACTCTGTCAACCACATCCAGTGAAGAGCACCCCCATCACGTCCCAAGGCAGCTGGAAAAGCCAGCTTTTAAGACCTTTCTGGAAAGCCAGAAGGGTGGAGGTAGATCTTACTCCTGGTATCAAAATGTTCAACAGGGCTGGGATCATACTGGAAAAAGCTGCTCTTGAGCTGAAATTGCTTGATAGACTGAGTTCACGGCAAGTCCCTTTTCTGGGAATGGCCAGCATTCTGTACCAGCTGTAGCTTCTGAATTAGTGGTTCCCAACCATTTTTGGGCCATGCCCCATGTAAGCATTTCTAAAATCCTAGTGTCACCCCCTCCCATATATAATTCTTACTGTACTCAAAAAGTGAACTCTACTCACATGGAGGAAGTCTAAAAAGTCATTAACGTGGTTTAAACAAGGTTGAAATTGCCCCCATTCAAAATCAAATCCCCCCCATTGGACATGGGCCCCACATTGGAACCACACCTCTGAATGCTTTTGAAGGGTAGCCCCATGTAGACCTTAGATAGAATTTTAGCACAGATCCACCCTATGTTGAATTTAACAATAAGGTGAAGGTAGAATAAGCATTTGCAGAAGGATAGTAACTTTGAAAAATGTTAAGACCTTGTTGATGTGTTAGATTGAAATGCTGTTATAACTTAGTTTTTCATACATTATGTGAAGTGTGTGTGTGTGTGTGTGTGTTTCCGTCTGTTTGAGGTTACAGTGCAAAATATGTCCCCATGGCTCACAGGGGAATCTACTTTTTCATAGGTGTGTATAGAAATATGTATAGGTGATTCTAATTCATATATTTTTGTGATGTATTAAATATTCTAAAGAATTTTTGATTCTGTGGCATATATTTCCTTAAAAATAATTAATGAAGAAATAAAGAAGAAGCTACAATGATGATTTCTTAAAACTGCTCAGTCATTTATATTTTTGTTTGCCAGATCCCTTTCATATAAATTAAAAAGGGGCTGATAAAAAAAACTCAGAAAGGAATTTTGTTCAAATAATTGCTGGCATCACTGAAACTACTTTATATACTTAATTTGTTGTTCCTTTTGTTAAGCTTGCTTTAATCATTTAATTGAAATTGTTAGATTGTTGTTTGTTTGGCAGAAGTATATTTTCTTTTGAAATATGGTGAGGAAGTAATTTCAATTAGTCCAAATAGCATTGCCTTCCTTTAATGTACAAATTATTGATTATAAGGATATAAAGCAGACTTCTTCAATCTGGCATTAACCATCAGTTTGCATGTACTGTGAAAGTGCTGCTTAAAAATACTGAGACTTATTATGCAAAATAGCCGGAGGGTACAGGTATACTAGGTTGCAGAAAGCTAATGTATCATTAGTAATTTTCATTATGAAATTATCTTGATTCAGTGAAATCAAATGTATTTTAAGAGTAGATCATAGGTTTTTTTGAAAGCTATTTCTAAGAGAAATTGAGGAATATTTTTTATGATAGAGTGATCAAGAAACGTCTTATTAAATAAATACTTAAAAGTTTTAGGATATTTTAGGATGCTTTCAAAATTGAAAAGGGACATAGGAAATCCTAATACGAGGATAACTCCATGATTTGTAGAACAACCTTGACTACATAACTGCATAATCATTCAGCATCTTGTGTCCCATTCCAAATTCTTCTTAAGTTCTGCTGAAACAACTGAAGCGATTTACTTGCCAAGGAAATTAAGACATGTCAGTTTTTCTGTAAGCTAACCAATATAATTTTCTGACATTTGGGATCTAACTTCATCTTTCTCACTTGTAGGATGTATCAAAGATAAAGCTGACTTTAGGTAAATTACATATTTGATCTCCATAAATTTAATTTTGCAACTGTAATGGGACGTTGAATCCATGTAAATATGTAGTCAACTTATTCTTCACGAAAATATTACATTATAAAATAATACTAAATACTAATGGGTTGTTTTGCTTTGTTCCTTTAGGGCATCAGTAGTCTGTTCAGTTCCCTTAAAGTAGTCAGGCTGCTTCGACTGGGTCGTGTGGCTCGAAAATTGGATCACTATATTGAATATGGAGCGGCTGTCTTGGTTCTTTTGGTGTGTGTCTTTGGTCTTGCAGCCCATTGGCTGGCCTGCATTTGGTACAGTATTGGGGACTATGAAGTTATCAATGAGGATAAAAACACAATACGAAATGAAAGCTGGCTCTACCAGCTGGGGGAATCCATAGGATCGCCCTATCAATTGAACACAACGACTGGAAAATGGGAAGGCGGACCAAGCAAAGATTCTGTTTATATCTCTTCATTATATTTTACAATGACTAGTCTGACAAGTGTTGGATTTGGGAACATTGCACCAACGACAGATGGAGAGAAGATCTTTGCTGTTGCTATGATGATGATTGGCTGTAAGTATCAATGTATTAATTTTTAATTTAGTCTTTCGAAATGTATGATTTTCTGTAAACTGCACTAACTTTTCACAGACCCCTCTGGTCCTCCCTCCCAAGTCTGCTGGGGGACCCCCTGGAATAACAAGACATTGGAGTTATAGGGAATATTTAAATTTTCCATCCCCCAGGATCTTATTCACTTCCATAAGCTGAAGGAATGAGATTATTCATCATTTTTGACTATCAGCTCTCCCTGATAAAACAAAATTTCCACCCCAATTTATTTTTATAACAAACAAGGAAAAGTTAAGCATCAATATTTTACTTGGCTGCATGATGAATGCACCATCTTTTGCAACCAAGAGTGGAGTAATGAGAACAATTCATTCCATGGCCTCAGTTACCTGCTTTGTCACCTGTTCATTCCAAGCTGTCAAAAGATTGAGCTGTGTAGCAGAGTTTCGGGGAAAAAATCCAAGCTTCCTCTGAAACCGGATTGCAGCTTCCTGGGGTGGGCCAGTAAAATAGGCATGATGAGTCGCTATGGCTGGGCATGGTTTTGGAGAGCTCTAGAGCCAACACAGAATGGTCCGATTTTATATCTTTATATAAAGATGATGATCAAGAAAAAGGGAGACAATTTGTTTATGTTTTGCATCTGTGACCTACCATGTGGCTAACTGACAGTTGATTACATAGAATGTGAATCTAGTAAGCATGCAACAAATATTGAGAGAATAGATTGGAACAAGGGTAAGTTGACTTTGGAATATTGCAGAATTAATTCTAGTAACCACTTTCCATCAGCATTTATTTCTTGCTGAAATAACAGGAAATATGCTTTATATGATAAAAAGGTCTGGTGGGTAGATGTTAGAATTAATCATGCACATGATGGCACTGAAGAAGCAACCTCCTCAGATGCATACTGTATGTGGTTTCCTGAAAAAAACAGAAAATTTGTTAATTGAGTTTATACTGGCAAGGATACAGAAGCTTTTGTGGGTATCAAATATTTTAATTGGAATGAGTTCTAAATGTATTGAGACAGTCTTAATTTACTGGCATTAATTTACAGTAAATCTCCATAGAAATTGTTAAAGAAAGCTATAAGTACAAACATTTAGTGCACTAGTATATCATATTATTATTTGAAATGATAGTGATGGTGGAAATGTGTGCCCAGAAGGGAGAATTTTTCATTGAAAAATATTAAATACATATGCCCAAATTATCCTGTTAAAACAGATTGTGGTAACAGTAGAAATTCTGGGCTGTTGGTTCCTGTATTGTGCCCTAGGAAGTATGCAATAGTCTGTTCACCAAATAGTGTCATATATAAAACAACAAGCCACACATCTGTCTCAGTTAAGTGTGTTTGCTTTAATTCATAATTATCCTGACCTTTTCAATTTTCTGTAGCAGTGTTCTGTGCCTGACAACCCCTTACGTATCAACTCCAGTCTTTTAATCAGCATTGACAAAAAAAATTACACAATTCTCAAATAATTCATTGTAGTCCAGTGAAGTTCTATTGTTTGTGCAATTCCAGTATGGTTAGATGTTTTTGTTCCGGGAAGTTTCTGCACTTTTTAACCCATCTAGCAGAAAATCAAATATAATAATATCACATAAAATATTTCCAGTGAAATCAAGGCAACTAACAAATAATATACATCTTTGTATATTATCCAAGATGTTTTTTGTAGAACTTAAATAAATGGGCAAAAACTTCAAAGCATTTAGTATGTGTGGCCAGAGTAACTTGCATAATCCATTGTCTGTTGAAGATACATTTTGATGGCTGGGAGGAATATGAAGGGAATAGTTGTGATGAATGCAAATTATAGCATTTCCACTATGAAAACAAGTTCCCTTTGTCTAGTGTGCAAAACAGTAGATGTATCCTGTTAATAAAAAAATATGTAAGTGTTTTCCTTCATTCATTGTAAATGCAGTAATAGGCTATCTGCGTAAGTTACTTTGAAAGATGAAGCTCGTGACTCACTAAGAGAGAAAAGGGGTTTTTCGCAGATAATGCTCGGGATATCATGAAAGAACTTGTGCTGAAAATTAATTTGATGCTTGAGATGCTTCCATACTGGAGCAGAATAAAAAAAAACTTGGGAAACATTTCTAGATCACTGAAACTAAAAGTGCTTAACATGAAACTGTAGTGGTCCATATCTGTCTTATAATGCTGTATGACTTTTTGGATTGAAGGCTGTATTGGTTTCCAATATTTTATGAAAGTTTTAGGAAACTTGACAGAGAACTGAACAGTTTATGTAGTGCTGTATTATCATTTCTTAGAATTTTTTTTACTGAAGTTGAATACATTTTTATGCAATGGAGTCCTTGGTGCCTTCCAGAGTTTGGTTGTTTGCTTGCAGATGTTTCATTACTCAACTAGGTAACGTCATTAGTATTAGTGATTGTGGGTTTTGCTCCCTCTTTATATACAGTAGCTTGCACTGCCTCTGTTGATAGGGATGTGGTTTTCTCTTTGGTAGTTTCTTGATTAGGGTATTGTTTTCTGCTTGATTATTTGGTCTAGTGTTCTTAATTCCTGCTTATCTGGGTGTTGCTGCTGGAGATAATACGTTCTGGTCTTTTTGTTTCCTTGTTAGATTTTTTTTGAATGGCAAATAAATACAGCTTATCTCTCTGTGTCTGTTGAGGATTGATTTACCTGAATGCCAAGATTCTAGGAATTCCCCAAATCCAATTTGGATTTAGCTTGGCCTAGGATGCTCACAATTTCCCAACTGACATTATGGTTTAATCTGTATTTATTTGCCA